AAAAAAAAAAAAAAAGACAGAGGGTGAAAGAGAGGACCAATTTCTACAAAAAAATTTGCAACTAAAGTCCAGGATGGTGCTTTTACTAGAAGAATTAACCAATTGACAGACTGTAAAAATGTATCTCAGGTCCTTTGGACCATATGCTGAAGATTGTTTTTGGAGAGGCAAGTCTTTGCTGAGTATGGTAAATAACCCTCCGGCTGAAACTGATGGGACGACATGTGCAGATTTAACTAGTCAAGAGAAGCTTTTATCATAGATTTTGATAAGGGCTATACTGACGTGGCCTAATCTGAAGGCTCTTTTCAGACACAAGGCAAAATAATTTGAGCAATTTCCATGTTCCTCTCCAATCCCTGGGATGTACCGTACCGAGCAAAACTCTGGACTTTGTTCAAAATGGTGATGAGGCTTTTGGAATATGCTAAAGATGGCAGATCTAAAGTCATTCTACATTAAAATGGCACGTGCATTACTTCCTTGGAGTAAGCAGTAGCTGGCCAAAATAACTTGCCAGCTCCATTCTGCCTGCCAAGGATTAGCTGAGCTCTGCTCGATACGAGGATCCCACTGGGACCGGTTATAGATCCTCACCCCTTTTTAAACTCAGAAAGGCCATGATCTTACAGGGCCTGATCTAGCATTGATTGGAGTCAGTGGAGAGGTCCATAATACCTGCTGTGGAGGAAGAAGTGACAACTTCCTTGGCTGACTAGGAGCCTGGCCTGGTCCTGCAGTCAGTGAATGCTCCGAACTGCCATTGCAGTCTAGAACTTTACCCGACTGGGCCCTAAAACCGGGCAGTATGAGTGGAAACCTAAGCTTGTTCCTGGGGCAAATCCTGAAGTCCTTATTCAAGCAAATCCCCAGTGAGAGTTTTTCCTGAGCAAACACTGAGAAAGGAGATCAGGACTTGGTTTTAAGATACACACCTTCAAGGACATTCACCGCCTACATCCTTCCCACCTTTTCTCTCTGGTCTCCTATTACTGCCCCTGGTTTTCGCACCCCATGCCTCCTCTATGCTCCTTCCTAGAGCTGCCTCTGTGCCCTCTTTCATGTTACCCCTCTATATCTCGATCTCCCTTGCTTACCCCTCAGGCTGTGCTCTCCAACGTCCCTTCCCAACAGTCACTTCTTCAACCTGTGGAACTCCTTGCCAGAGGATGTTGTGAAGGCCAAGACTACACCAGGATTCAAAAAGAACTAGATAAGTTCATGGAGAATAGGTCCATCAATGGCTATAAGCCAGAATGGGCAGGGATGGTGTCCCTAGCCTCTGTTTGCCAGAAGCTGGGAATGGGCCACAGAGGATGGATCACTTGATGATTACCTGTTCTGTTCATTCCCTCAGCAGCACCTGGCATTGGCCCCTGTCGGAAGTCAGGATACTGGGCTAGATGGACCTTTGGGCTGACCCAGTGTGGCCACTCTTGTGTTCTTATGTTGAAGATTTTAATCTACAGTTCCCCAGGCAAAATCACTAAATAGAAACACGGGGCTCCATTCTCAATTGCCCTGCCCCTTCTGCAGTCACTCTCAGCTGCATGCTGAACAACACCAAACCAGAGTGGGAGCATTTCACGCTCACTTTGCCCAAGGGTCAATAATAATAAGGCAGGTGAGAATCAGGCCCCCAGAATACCCATGTAATGCCCCAGACAGATGTACACATTAGCTCCCGAATTTACTGAAGACTTTTTTTGGGCCTGATTTTCACTTACACTAAGATTGCTTTATATTGCTCTGGCTGTGCAAAGGGTCCGTAAGTCAGTGTACATATAATTTAGGCCCACTTAAAGCCCTTTTACACGACCAGAGCAAGCAACCTTAGTGCAACTGATAATTGGGTCCTTTGCCTTAAAAATTACCACCTTTGCTACCACCACTGATGGTAGCAACAATGGGAGAAATATGAGAGTATAAAGGGCATACAAGGAATGTAGGCTCAGAGTCAGAATCTTAATTATGTGATTAATGCAGAATGACATCGTTTCCTGATGCATAAGAAAATGTGTGTGGTTCTGTTCTTTTTATACTATGAGCAGCACAGTAAAGTATAATGTTATTTTAATGCATTTGTAACAAAATGCATTGTAGCAAAAGTAACCACATAACACTAAAGCCCTGATCCTGCAGTCAAATGCCTGTGCCTTCACAAAACCCTATTAAAATCAGTGAAGTACAAAAGGGTTCCCTGTTGTCATCTTCATGCAGAGGATCAGTATCTAAACTATCATATACATTCCCATTTAAAGGCATGATCTCAAACCCATTGAAGTCAATGGGAGTCTTTCTCTTGACTAAGGGTATGTCTATACTTACCTCCGGGTCTGGCGGTAAGCAATCGATCTTCTGGGATCGATTTATCGTGTCTTGTCTAGATGCGATAAATCGATCCC